AGTGTTGCTGGTGCAGCAGAGGGGCGGGGCTCTGGCTCGCTGTGGTTGGGTTGTGTGTGTGTTCTGGTTCTCCTACATGACTGATCAACACTGTCCTGATGGGGAGCGCAGCTGAACTCATCACTGGTTTGTTTGGGCCGACACTAAACGACAGGGTTGTGTGTGTACACCATCATTTATCCCTGTGTGTGTGTGTGTGTTTCAGCGCCGACGTCGTTCCTGCTGTTCAGCCAGAAGACGGCTATTAACCGCATGGTGATGGACGAGCTGCAGAGCCCCGACATCATCCTGCCCATCCACAGCCTGCGGAACGTGCGCGCCATCGACTACGACCCGCTGGACCGGCACCTGTACTGGATCGACGCCAAGCAGAATGTGATCCGCCGAGCACAGGAGGACGGGAACCAGGTGAACACACACACACACACACACACACACACACACACACACACACACACACACACACACACACACACACACACACACACACACACACACACACACACACTGCTGCTCTGGGTCTGACCATGGCTATTGTCATCATATGAGTCCTCGGGTTGGGCATTTGATATTAGGTTAGACTTTCTGATATGGAGCAGCGCCACCGTGTGTGTGCACATGACCTGAGTGTGTGTGTGTGTGTGTGTGTTTCTGCAGAGTGTGACGGTGGTGTCCGGCGCTGTTGGCGGCTCAAACCTCGGCCTGCAGCCGTACGACCTGAGCATCGACATCTACAGCCGCTTCATCTACTGGACCAGCGAGCTCACCAACGTGATCAACGTGACGCGCACAGACGGCTCGCGGGTCGGCGTGGTGCTGCGCGGAGAACACGACAAACCCCGCGCCATCGCTGTCAACCCTGAGCGCGGGTGAGCGACGCTTTAGCATTCAGTGTACCGATGAACACTCATGATGACAACATGCCATGATGGGGATAATCAGTCTGTGCGCTCAGTGTGAGCCGCTCTACACACACACACACACACACACACACACACACACACACAATGCAGTTGTTTAGATTGCAACTGTGCGGTTTATTTATAAGATAATGCCTATTTCAAACATTTACAGTTTCTGAGAGCGCTGGCCATTAACCAGCCATAGTGTAGAGCAGCGGTGACCAACCCTGTTGCTGGAGAGCCGCCATCCTGCAGATCAAACACACCTGCCTGTAATGATCACCTGGTGTTCAGGTCTTGATTAATTGGTTCAGGTGTGTTTGATATGGGGAGCAGCTGAAATCTGCAGGAAGGTGTTTCTCCAGGAGCAGCGCTGGTCACCCCTGCTGTAGAGCAAACACAACTGATGTTTTCATCCACTAGATGGCGACAGAACTGCATAATTAGCCCTTACACTTAGATTATAACAGTCTGATCTCTATACAGCAGATCAGATCAATATTAAACTGGTCAGCTCACCTGCCAACACTCCTTTCAGACCAAACATCCCGTTTTTATTCCTCCTGGAAAACTCTGGTAATTTCCTGTAACTGCTTTCACAATAAATACCCTGATTACCCTAGTGAAGCCTTTACATGTCACTGTGAGCTGAACACTAGTGTCTTGAAGAATATCTAGTCTAATATTCTGTGCATCATCATGGAGAAGAGGAACACATCAGCTGTTCACACTGTCATGATCAGGGGTAATCTGCTCTCCGCTAGTCAGAGATTGGGGAAATGAACAGGGGGTGAGTAGCTCTGCCCGCAGCTGTGTGCTGATGTGTTGACGGTGCGGTTCTGGACTGTGTGTGTTTGTCTGATGAACACAGGTCTTCATCATGGTGATGCTGTGGGGGGAGCGCTGGTCAGTGCGTGTTGAGCGGTGTGTGTGTGTGTGACGGTGTGTTGCGTGTCGTCCGCAGGTACATGTACTTCAGTAATCTGCAGGAGCGCTCCCCGAAGATCGAGCGCTGTGCTCTGGACGGGACGGAGCGTGAGGTGCTGTTCTTCAGTAATCTGGGCCGGCCGGTGGCTCTGGCTGTGGATAATGAGCTGGGCAAACTCTTCTGGGTGGACATGGACCTGCGGCGCATCGAGAGCAGCGACCTGTCCGGTGAGGTCAAAGGTCACACTGATGATGATGATGATGATGAGGGTTCAGGGGTGGCACAGGGCTCGAGGAGTTTCTGCTGTTCCACATAGTTGATCAGTCATGATGTTCGTCATCTGCTGTCTGTCTCATCCTCCGCATGTGCTCGTGTGCTGCTCTCGCTAGTCTCTCCTCCTCTCTCCTCCTCTCTCTCCTCCTCTCGCTAGTCTCTCCTCCTCTCTCCTCCTCTCTCTCCTCCTCTCGCTAGTCTCTCCTCCTCTCTCTCCTCCTCTCTCTCCTCCTCTCGCTAGTCTCTCCTCCTCTCTCTCCTCCTCTCTCTCCTCCTCTCGCTAGTCTCTCCTCCTCTCTCTCCTCCTCTCTCTCCTCCTCTCGCTCAGCTCTGCTCGGGATTCTGATTTACATGCTTAGCCCCGCCTCTGACCACCCGTATCTCCGCCCCTTTCTGCCTAGGAGCCAATCGGATTGTGATCGAGGACTCCAACATCCTGCAGCCGGTGGGCTTGACGGTGTTCGGGAACTTCCTGTACTGGATCGACCGGCAGCAGCAGATGATCGAGAGGATCCACAAGGTGACGAGAGAGGGACGAACCAAAATACAGGCGCGCATCGCCTCACTGAGCGACATCCACGCCGTCCACCAGCTGGACATGCAGGAGTACAGTGAGTCTGAGTGTGTGTGAGTGTGTCTGTCTGTGTGTGTGTGTGTGTCTGTCTGTGTGTGTGTGTGTGTGTGTGTGTGTGTGTGTGTGTGTGTGTGTGTGTGTGACGGGAATCTCAACAGTAAAGTATAAATGTTCAAGTATGTTGCGAGTGCTCTTTACGGTAATGACGTGTGTGTGTGTGTGTGCGCACAGGTAAACACCCCTGCACGTCTGATAACGGCGGCTGCACACACATCTGCATCGTGAAAGGAGACGGAACCACACGCTGCTCCTGCCCCATTCACCTGGTGCTGCTGCAGGACGAGCTCTCGTGCGGAGGTACACACACACACACACACACACACACACACACACACACACACACACACACACACACACACACACACACACACACACTAAAAGAGTGTATTCATGTACAGATTCACTGCTCATCTGCAGGATAACTCTGTCTGATCTCTGCTGATGATGACGGTGTGTGTGTGTGTGTGTGTGTGTGTGTGCGTGTGTGTGTGTGTCCTCAGAGCCGCCCACGTGTTCTCCAGAGCAGTTCTCGTGTGTGTCGGGTGAGGTGGACTGTATCCCGCAGGCGTGGCGCTGTGACGGGTTTGCGGAGTGTGATGACAGCAGTGATGAGCGGGACTGTCCTGTCTGCTCCAGCCGGGAGTTCCAGTGTGACAGCCGGCAGTGTGTGGACGCGGCGCTGCGCTGCAACGGAGAGATCAACTGCCAGGACCGCTCCGACGAGAACAAGTGTGAAGGTGTGTCTGTGTGTGTGTGTGTGTGTGTGTGTGTGTGTGTGTGTGTGTATATATTCTCATTACTGTTGAACATGTCTGTAGCTCTGCGCTGGCACAGGGTTCAGGCGTCTGACATCACTAAAAACACAAACCTGATCAGACATCTGTCCTGTGAACAGTGAATCGGTTATCAGCTCATGCCTAGTCTGACTCTTCACCTCTGTCTGTCTGTAGTTCTGTGCCCTGCGGATCAGTTCACCTGCTCAAACGGACAGTGCATCGGCCGACACAAGAAATGTGACAACAACATGGACTGCACAGACAACTCAGACGAGATCGGCTGCTGTAAGAGCTTGATGAAGCACACAGACACTACCTCAGCGGTGTCCAAACCCAGTCCTGGAGGAGCGCTGCCCAGCGAAGTGTAGCTCCAGCCCTGATCAGACACCCCTGGGCTATAATCGAGCTCTTACTCTGCAGCTGAACTCTGCAGGACAGCGGCCCTCCAGGACTGAGTGTAGAAACACACTGTGTAGATACATCTGACAAAGCTCTGCCCAGAAACAGCAATGATCACTGCAGATGTGGTGTCACCGGGCGAGGCAGTGGCGCAGTAGGTAGTGCTGTCACCTCACAGCAAGAAGGTCGCTGGTTCGAGCCTCGGCTCAGTTGGTGTTTCTGTGTGGAGTTTGCATGTTCTCCCCGTGTTGGTGTGGGTTTCCTCCGGGTGCTCCGGTTTCCCCCACAGTCCAAACACATGCGCTATAGGGGAACTGAGTAGGCTAAATTGTGCGTAGTGTATGAGTGTGTGTGTGGATGTTTCCCAGAGATGGGTTGCAGCTGGAAAGGCGTCCGCTGCATAAAACCTTGCTGGATAAGTTGGCGGTTCATTCCGCTGTGGCGACCCCAGATTAATAAAGGGACTAAGCTGACAAGAAAATGAATGAATGAATGGTTTAACCCTTGTGTGCTGGACGGAGCGACTCTCCTGTGGTGATGCTGGTGCCGGTTCTGACCCATTCACTCATCATATAGAGAACGCTGCAGTACTGACTCATGCTGGTGTCCCTGCTGGGATTAAGGGGGACAGTGTGAGTTCTCCTGCTGATGATCAGCCTGTGCTGGCGAGTTTCTGTCTCCGTCTGTAAGCCAGACTCTGTCGCTGATGATCAGCTGGAGAACTGGACTCTGGTCCTCCTCATGTCAGTGAGTGCAGCAGTGGATGTGCTGGGGTGAGTGTGTGGTTATAATGGGGGTCAGTGGGCAGATCATCAGCACAGGAGAGTCCGGCTGAACACTGTGTGTTGATCATCTCCTCTAAATGTGTGTGTGAGAGTCAGATCAGTCAGCAGAATCCTGAAACACAGAGAGACACATGAGGACTCCACATCAACCCAGAGTGATGGAGATCACCCAGCAGGGTTACCACAGTGATGAGTGTGATGATGCGTGTTTATGATGATGGTGCTCTGACGTGTGTGTGTGTGTGTGTGTGTGTGTGTGTTCAGATGCGACAGAGGAGCCGTCGTTTGCTCCCACTAACACCATCGGCTCAATCGTGGGTGTGGTGATGGTGCTGTTCGTGGTCGGCGCGGTGTATTTCGTGTGCCAGCGCGTGCTCTGCCCGCAGATGAAGGACGACGCCGACACCATGACCAATGACTTCGTGGTTCACGGACCGCCGCCGGTGCCGCTGGGATACGTCCCACACCCCGCATCCCTGAGCGGATCACTGCCAGGTGGAGCTCCAACAACACTCACACTGACGAGAAGCGTGTGTGTGTGTGTGTGAGATACTAGTGTGTGTGTGAGATACTAGTGTGTGTGTGAGATGCTTGTGTGTGTGTGTGTGTGTAAGATGCTTGTGTGTGTGTGAGATACTAGTGTGTGTGTGTGTGTGAGATACTAGTGTGTGTGTGTGTGTGTGTGTGTGTGTGTGAGATTAATATGATTATTTCTGAGTGTTTTATTGTTATTTGTGTGTGTTCATGAACAATAAACATGAATAATTAAAGTGTGTGTGTGTTTGTGTGTGTGTGTGTGTGTGTGTGTGTTCAGGCATGTCCAGAGGGAAGTCAGTCATGGGCTCGCTGAGCATCATGGGAGGCAGCAGTGGACCACCGTACGACCGCGCTCATGTGACCGGAGCCTCGTCCAGCAGCTCGTCCAGCACTAAAGGAGCATATTTCCCTCCGGTACACACACACACACACACACACACACACACACACACACACACACACACACACACAGCTGTTTCAGTACTTCTGCCAGAGCTGTTACTGTGCCCGTGATGTCCCCCTTCCACATTAAGGCTGATTTGCCTCAAGTGCCCGTGTGTGTGTGTGTGTGTGTGTGTGTGTGTGTGTGTGTGCTCCGATGCAGCCTGCGCATGCTCACACAGCCCTCGCCGTGGCTGATGATGCTCAGAAATATAAGTACATATCGCAACGACATCACAAGCTGTGTGTCTGTGAGGAGAGTGGGCCTGATGGCGTGAGTGTGTATGAGTGTGTACGAGTGTGTATGAGTGTGCAGGGCTCGAAATTGACTTTTTTACTTGGTAGCACCGGTGCTCCCAACTTCAAATATTTAGGAGCACCAGAAAAAATTTAGGAGCACCACCAAAAATGAATGAGCACCGCTGCAAATTGTTTTTTAAGGGATTTATTGTATTTTAAAACAACATCAATAGGACTGACAAAAACCAGAAACAGCTATCTAACTAATGCTGCGAAGACTTTGATATTTGTGTGCAATAATTCCAAAATGAATGTCTAATAATTAGGCCATAGAATATTAATGATGATGAAAATGACAATAATAGTAACAATGAATAACATTTCTCATTATGATGCTGCCTTGAATGTGCATGAATGTAGGTTATCTGCTATAAAAAGTCTGTTACTTTATGAAAAATAATTGTATAGTTTGCATCAAACCAAAATGAAGCATTGCAGTAAGAAATATTTATTTTGTGCTGCTGTTTTTATATGCATGTCAATTTAATAAATAATATTTCTGCTACAAAACAAACAAAAGATTATAATAAATCATTCAATTCAATGATGAAAGCTGCAAAGCAGTCATCAGTAAATAAATAAAAAAATAATATACACCTCAAACAAGAATAGACAAAAGAAAGTAAGTAAAGTCTCACTTCTATCACTCTTTAAAAGTTTTGGTTTCAGTTTGTGTCAATTTAAAGGTTCAGTCTGAGCTGATCTTCATTTTTCTGTGTTAGTGGAAAAGCAGGCGAGTCAGCCGACCCAATTTATGAGCAGGCAGAGCAGGATTCTTGCGCTAACCTTCGGCGCAATACCGGTCTTTGTTATGAGCCGCAGTTTCAGTGTAAACTTAGTAAAGGCGAGCTTCTTTGGCGATGATATGTACAGTATTAGATTTGACTTTTAGCGGACATTTGCGCTGAACACGCAGTGAACGGAACGCATCGAGATTCGGGCACCTTCTCCAAGAAGCGCATACTCGATTGATCTCAGCTGGCGGATCAATATTCACCACGTGACGTGTCATGATCGCTCTCATCTGCGCCTCAACTTTAGGTGGGGTTTGCAAACCTGTGCGCTTTAAGTTTTCAATATTCAGCCATTTGCATTTCCCGTGGTCATAAAAGCTCCTTCCCTGTCATCTGACAGCGGAATACCTTGAGTGATTGACAGCTAATATGAACCAATATAGCGGCAGAGAAGAGCGATTCAGCACGTTTTTACAAAAAATCAAAACAGGTCGCACTACAACTATTATCTGCAGTCGCACTAATGCTCCATATATATTATGAGGTCGCATAGATTAATTTTCGGGTGCATATGTGACCAAAATGGTCGCAATTTCGAGCCCTGGTGTGTACGAGTGTGTACGAGTGTGTACGAGTGTGTACGAGTGTGTACGAGTGTGTACGAGTGTGTACGAGTGTGTACGAGTGTGTACGAGTGTGTATGAGTGTGGAGTCTGGTGAAGGAGCTGCAGATGGACACTGGTGTTCTGTGTTCACCTCAATCTCTTCATATTAATAGTCTGCATTACCAGAACAGATCATACTTTCAGTGTAATGCTGTCATGAAATATGATGACAGACATTCAAGACAGCTTACTTTAATACCTCAATAGAAGCTTTAAATGTAAATATGACGTCTCATGTGGGAACGGTCAGGATGAGCAGTGTGGTAATCTAATAGTTCTGCTGTTAATATAGCCCACTCTCGTGTCTGTTAATGCAGAATGAAGCGAGCGCATCGATGCCCGTTCTGGCCAATCACAGACGTTTCTGTTGAGCTCCTGAGCACCATGGCCAGTCAGCACATGCTGATCTGCTCTCTCATTGGCTGCGGCTCGTCACTACATCTGACCATGCGTGGGGTGGAGTCGGCCGACTGTTCTGGAATATTCAGCATGCTAGATTATTAAATTTACATCTGTGAGGTGTCGGTGACGCTTCAGCGAGCCTCTTAGATGCATTGTTCAGTAGTTCACACATAAACACTGCCGAGCGCTGAGCACCTGTAGATTTTCCCCAATCACAGCCGATCTGTCGGAGAGCAAGGTAACTTCCAAATCAGGCTCAATCGGGTTTAAATCCTGCAGTGTGAACTCAATGTTAGGCACCGTCTGACAGTGGGAATGGCCATGAGAGTGTCCTGACCTGATCTGACCGGACCTGCAGCACTCAGTGAAGCGGGCCTCTAGTGTTCAGGGATAGGGAAGGCGGTGTTATGGAGAAGTGTTCCTGCAGGTGGTTTGTCAGCTCCACTCAGCTGTGTGAGGCTCTCTCTATAACACACAGTGAGTTGATGATGTATGTGTAATGTCTCTGCTGTTCTGCAGATCCTGAACCCTCCTCCATCTCCAGCCACCGTCAGGTCTCAGTACACCATGGAGTTCGGCTACTCCTCCAACAGCCCGTCAACACACCGCTCCTACAGGTAACATGTCCTCTGCCCATCACGCGTTTAATGCTAAACCTCTGTATGCTAACATGCTAATGTGTGTGTTGTGCAGCTATCGGCCGTACAGTTACCGCCACTTCGCTCCTCCGACGACGCCGTGCAGCACGGATGTGTGCGACAGTGACTATACGCCGGGCCGCCGGGCTCCGCACGCATCCAGCGCCACTGCTGCTAAAGGCTACGCTAGCGACCTGAACTACGACTCGGAGCCGCTGCCGCCGCCGCCCACGCCGCGCAGCCAGTACCTGTCGGCGGAGGAGAACTGCGAGAGCTGCCCGCCGTCACCGTACACCGAGCGCAGCTACTCGCACCAGCTGTACCCGCCGCCGCCCTCGCCCTGCACAGACTCCTCCTGAGCCCCGCCCCCTGCGCGCCAGGCCCCGCCCCCACTGCCTCTGTACATATATATAAGTGACTGTGTCTCGCTGAAGGACAGCTGAGGGCTCTGGCGGCGCTGTACAGTAAGAGAAGAGCATATTTATATATTTCTATACAGTGTTGCCGCGGTTACCCACACGTGGACACTGATGAAGAGAGATTTATCAGACCCACACACACACACACACACGCACACGCTGCCTTAATCTGACTCACACGCGTGTGGTGTCCATGCCAAATAGTTCCTGAGCCGCGCGGCGGCGCCCCCTGCAGGCTCTACACTGTGACGCGGCGGCGCGCTTATTTTTATACTGTTTTATATGAGAGACGAGGAGGAGCCAATCAGCACACACCTCCCGCCCACCTGCTGGCGTAACACACAATCACGGCGGCGACTCGTGCCTGAGCGGTTACACACACACACACACACACACACACACACACACACACACACACACACACACACACACACACACACACACACACACACTCTTGCCGCCGTTTTCCACTTTTCTACATGAGTGCCAGAAGAGCTCTGCTATTTTTATACCGCACACTGTACATATCCTGTATTTATAAGCTATCAGAGGACGAGCAGCCGCGCACGTGTGTGTGTGTGTGTGTGTGTGTGTGTGTGTGTGTGTGTGTGTGTGTGTGTGTGTGTGTATGTGTGAGAGAGAGCTCCGGTCTAAGCTTTAGATTTCCCATAATGCATTGGTGTGTGTGTGTGTGTGTGTGTGTGTGTGTGTGTGTGTGTGTGTGTGTGTGTGTGTGTGTGTGTGTGTGTGTGTGTGTGTTTGTAGCACTTCTGGATCCTCTGAGTGTTCATAAAGGGAAACTCACCAGCACAGACCCCCCCCCCCCTCCCCCACATTACCCAGCATGCACCAGTCTTGCTCTGGGTGTTTGGTTACGCATGTCTGTGCCTTCACTTTATCACTAAACTTGTGTGTGCGTGTGTGTGTGTGTGTGTCAGTAACTGCTTCTCCAAATCTCCCGCTCTTTACTGGCCTGCTCTGCAAGGGCTTCTGGGTAATGCCATGCTCTGTGTTCCTGTGGTTCTGCTCACACCAGCGACTCATCTTCTGCACTTTACAGGAGCGGTGCATCCTCACTGTGTGTGTGTGTGTGTGTGTGTGTGTGTGTGCGTGCGTGTGTGTTAATCATCGTCTGCTCCTCATCAGTCTGCTTCTCCATGATGTCCAGTTGTTGTTAGTGTGTGTGTGTGTGTGTGTGTGTGTGTGTGTGTGTGTACAGCTCCTCGTCGCTCCTCCTCTGGTCTATAAGCTGTTGTAATGATTCAGATGATCTTGTTTTTGTTTTTTTAAATAAACTAAGTGAACTTTTCCTCCGTGTGTGTGTGTGTGTGTGTGTGTGTGCGTGCGTGTGTGTGCGTGCGTGATCATGTACAGTACTGTTGAGCTCTGATTAGTACAGTTGAGGATTAAAGCTGCTGTGTGTGAGTGTGTGTGTCTACTGAAGCATGACACCAGCATCATGTGTGTGCAGATATTCAGAAACATGCTCAGTGAACATTCACCTTTATCTGAAACACAGTCACATATTCATATGTGTGTTACTGAGCGTCTGTCTGTGTTTTGGTCTCTTTAACCCGCCCACTGCCAGTGTAGCCAATTATATTTCAGCGCCCGGGTTGCCTTGGTTTAATTATTCAGTCAGTCAGCTGTACTGTGTGTTCTCCAGATCTGAGCTGAACTCTGCTGTCAGTAGTGTGCTGATACATGTCAGACTCACATTATCAGCGGTCAACACTGAACACAGCACATGAGCTGAGCTGATCAGTGTTCTGCTGTGAGGAACTGTACATGTTTAATAGATATTCATTTGAGCTGTTGCTTTGGATTGAAACTCATTTTAATGTGGGACACGTTCCTTCTATTGAGTCTCGTTGGTTTTATTGACAACACTGTATAAATCAGCCTTAGGCTCCATAGTCAAGCTCACTTCTGTCAATCTGGCAACCCGTGTGTGTGTGTGTGTGTGTGTGTGTGTGTGTGTGTGTGTGTGTGTGTGTGTGTGTGTGTGTGTTCTGAAGCAGGAGTGAGGATCTAGCTCAACCACCGGGTGTCAAACACACACACTGCAGCTTTTAGATCAGCTGAGATGGAAAACACAACACTTTTTACCTCAAGATTGTAATGTAATACTTAATATATATATATATATATACACACACAAATATATATTACAGACAAGCACAGCTATCAGACCATGATAACCCTATTCATTAAACGTTCACCAACACGCTGTAGCTACACATCACCAACTCACAGCAAACTGAAGTGATGTAAGAGCTGCAGAATATTAGGCCAGAAGAGTGTGTGAGGATCCTTAAACCTGCAGATGTCAGAGGTGAAGCAGGAGATGCAGCAGACGCCTGATGATGAAGACACGCTCAATATCCAGACAACATGAGCACACAGCAGAAGCAGAGCACACATGAGGAGACGTGACGAGAGACAGCAGCAGACGGACACTGAGCAGACATGACGGACCGCAGGAGGAAGAGGAGCAGCTCCACCATCACATACATCACCTGTGCTCACGCTCGTGTGTACAGAAACACTCCACATGTGTCAGTCAGTGTGTGTGTGTGTGTGTGTGTGCGCGCGCTCACACTGTTAGAGTAGATCAGCAGACTCACATCCACAGCAGCTCTCTCCTGAACAGCTGATCTCCTCATCCTGTGTGCTCTGCAGAGCCGCTCTCCTCCTCCGGGTCTGCAGCAGTACTTTTGCTTTGTGCAGTTTAATTCACTAAAATCCCACAGATAAATGAAATAAGCAGCGCATCGCAGAGAGGACGAGGTGTTTAACCAGGAGTGCTAATCTCCGACTCGGTAATCTCTAATTTGCTGTGGTTTTGATGGAGACGCTGTGTGTGTGTGTGTGTGTGTGTGTGTGTGTGTGTGTGTGTGTGTGTGTGTGTGTGTGTGTGTTCAGAGAGTTTATTCTAATGAGCTCCATTTCTGATGTTAGGAGGATTAAATCAGTGTGAAGTGAAAAGCTCTCTCTTATTAATAATTATAACACCTTACATTCATATATTGCTGAAAGACGCTCTCAGCCATTCTGGACTAATATAACAGTTCAGTATTCAGCCATTATATATTTATACAACAGTTCTGTCTGGTTCTGGAGTCTGATTGGCTGATAGCCGTGATGTATTTAAGTAATATCAGCACCCGTACAGCCTCTTCACTCTTTGTGTATTACTCCGCCCACACACAGCCAGCACACACGACAGATCTACAGTGTAAAAGACGCACGCTCGGCTGTTCTACTGTCAGCTTATGATCAGAATCCAGCGCGGAAGAAAGTAGTTCCTCATACAAAAGGGTTTTTGAGACTCTCCATGTTTGATTTTGTTTTTATAGACACAATTATGCCGTCAAACTGTTGTATAAACGCAATATCACACTCATAGCAGTGCAATAAGGCTGTATATCAGCACTGGTGGAGGCACTGAGGCACTCAGCCTGCGGTCTCATGCCAACACACACCTCCCACCAGTGCCGATATACAGCCATGTTGCACTACAAGTGTGATATTGCTCATATATACACACACACACACACACATATATATATATATATATATATATATATATATATATATATATATATATATATATATAAAATACTGAAAATGTGATGAGGGGAGACAGAACTACAGCTGCTGATGCAGAGAGAGAGAGAGAGAGAGAGAGAGAGAGAGAGAGCTGCACAGTGTCTATAATGCTGGTAGAGTATACTGCTGTAAGCAGGGTCAGACTGGGACTGAAATTCAGCCCTGGCACTGCAGCCACACCAGCCCACATTCCCACACCGGCACAGCCCCGTTCACAGACACACACATTCACTACTACACTGCTGTCCTGATGGTGAAACTACATGAGCAGCAGCAGCATATATAATGGACATTTAAACATGTAATGTGTGTGACTGGAGCAAAAACAACCTGTTTATGACAAATTTATACACACAATTATTTTCCTTTCAGCTTAGTCCTTTTATTATTCTGGGATCACCACAGTGGAATGAACCGCCAACTGTACCAGCATGTTTAAGGCAGTGGATACACAGTTCTCCTATAGCACATGTTTGGACTTGAGGGAAAATGGAAGGAAACCCATGCAAACATGCAAACTCCACACAGAAATACCAACTGACCCAGCCAAGGCTCGAACCAGAGACCTTCTTGCAGTGAGGCGACAGTGCTGACCACTGCGCTGCTCCCTTTCGAGACCACTTCAGCTGATTTTATTCATTTGGCAGCGTCTGATTTTAGAGCAGATTTCTTTATTAGTTTTTCACCTTTCCTTTATCACGGTCCATCTCTGACAGTCAGCTTGTGTTGCACTTACTGGAGAGGGGTCTGGCTGCAGACTCGGTGCAGTGCAATCTGAGCTGCATCCAATGCTTTTTAATGGGCTCACCTAACCCCACCCCTAACCCCGCCTATCACAGTGACGTCACTCCATTTGAGTGCAGTGTGTCTGAGATTGCATCACTGAGTGATGCAGTCTCAGCTTGCATCATAAAGGCTGCAGCCAGACACTATTGACTGACTGTGTGTTTGAAATTCTCGCCAGATTTACATTACATCCACATAACCTCTGATTGGGTCAGTCCCTCTCGAAACCAGCCGGCCACTGCTAATTGGGCCAATGCTCAACATATCATCATCATCATCATCATCATCATCATCATCATCATCATATTCACATCTTGCAGGAGATAAAGCAGCCTGCATGTGCTGTAAACACACCACATATAAAACATAACATTTAACAGCATGCCGGCCCACATTTACAAAACAGTGGCCAGTCCACCGCTGGATGAAGGAACACAGACACTTGTCAACATGCACGGGTCACTTCCTCAACACACATACAGAGCTGGAGACGAGACCATTGACTGATTCTGGATCAGCTGTATTGGATCATTGTATATTTACATATGATATTCCACAGATATATGATTAATAATGCTGTAAATACATGTATTAAATGCAAAACAAAATCAAAGCATTCACAGGCACAATCACAGTCAAGGATTCAATAATAGCACGAATGTCCGCCATGTTTGTAGTTCTTTTCTCTCATGGCTGCCGCTGCAGTTCCGCGTTTGTCCACATGGCGGAGACAGCGCAGCGACCGACTTTTACATCTGATTAACTGACTTTATTAACACCTCTAATAGAAATATGAGAGAGAATGAGGAAGAGCTGATTAATATACGCGTCTGTCATTGTGTTTCCAGCTCATTCTAGAGCTAACAGGAGACTGAACACGAGTGTTTTAGGCATACCGACTCTCTGTGCACTGCCCTCACATCCTCCATCATGATCTGCATCTGACACGTCATGTTCTGAGCACATCAAGCGGGATTAAACTCCACTAATAATGCTACATGATCAATAGCACAGCTCATTTCCCCACTGTCCAACAGCATTCATGCACATCTAAAATAAAGGACAGATCTGGACGGACATGTCAGATGTGTGTGTGTGTGTGTGTGTGTGTGATTATTGCAGTTATTATAGTGTATTCTCTTTATGACTGTTTGATTGACAGCAGCTCAAAGCTGAGCACTCTGTGACGTCACCCTGGAGGCCGTGCTGCTGTTGCTTGGCAACACTGGAGATGTTGTTGCTAGATCAGGCACTGATGCGCAGTGCTGAGAAACACTCGTGTGTGTGTGTGTGTGTGTGTGTGTTCCTCTTACCTGTGTTAAGTCCTGCTCCAGCGCTCCTCCGTCAGTCTGCTCTCAGCTCGGTGTTCATCATCATCATCATCATCATCATCATCTGTGAGGCGCAGGCATGAGTTGGCAGACTGCAGATGACGGACATTCAGCAGAGCTCAGATTAACATGAACATCGGCCAATGACAATACACTACCATCTAATCAAACACACACACATTACTGTTAGTGTCTGGGGTGATAATCCGCTGTGTGTGTGTGTGTGTGTGTGTGTGTGTGTGTGTGTGTGTGTGTGTGTTTATGAAGGCAGTTCAGATCTCCTCATTGTAAAGCTCAGTCTTCAGATATGGTGTGTTTGTGTGTCTCTCCATGTGTTTATGGGCTGTTCGGGCCGTGTGTGAGGTGTGTAAATCTCTCACTGTGCTGGATCTGGACACACACACTTGCTCTCTCTGTGTGTGTGTGTGTGTGTGTTTGTTAGACACTGTATGCATTGACTCAGGCTGAAGTAAAGGAATTGAGGGTAAATACCTTCTCTAACCTCCTGCGGCTTGATAAGCAGCCTGTGAGTGTGCGGAAGCTCTGCTGCTGCTGGTGTTTATAAGCGCTCATGTCACGTGTGCTCCTTCAATCGTCTACACCTGCGCTCATTATGCCGATCATGAATATTCAAATCCCTTTAATCTGATTGGACGAACGTCCCTCTGGGAGCTCCACTACGTTCACTCGTTAATCCCGTCTACTTTTCTGTAGTATAATCATTTTAAATGTATTTCCCCTAATAAGTGTATTATTATAAGTGTTATAATCTATAATATCAGAGCAATTACCTTCACAACATCGCACACTTCATGAAGAGGCTCGTGACTCGCAGTCAAGTCTAGAGGGGATACAGCTGCAGCCGGAGGACAACCCGAGTTATTTACCTTATTATTACCGACAACACGCTGTATTCTAACATCACTGTGAAGGTTAGATCCTCATAAAATAAAATTTAATTGAGAACACTCAGTATAATTACTGTTGGGCGGCACTGTGTGCCTTAGTGGTGTCAGCAAGGTCACTGGTTCGAGTCCCGGCTGGGTCAGTTAGTGTTTTAAAACAGACGTACACAAATCAGAATTAATGAGTAATTTAGTAAATATCATAATTAATTATTGCTATTTTCCGGCTGCATCCCTCCTTAAATGGGGAATATTGTGGCTCTGTGATTGGTGGAAACGTCTGTGCTGCATTATGGGTAATGTAGTTTCCTCCACAAATTCGCTGTTCATCTGTGTTGGATAAATAAAATGAATGTGCTGAAATTATCCACAAAGATGGCTCTCGACAACAGAATAAACCTCCAACTAAAAGCCCAGCCCAACAGCAATCAGCTCCCCTGAGTAGAACACAAGATTTACCTGTGTAAACACACACCGAGCACATCACAGACACTCCTGCTCTTCATCATGTGGTAATGCTCATCACTCTATTATTCTCAGTATTATCTCTCCATGATAAGCTCTAAAGCAGACAGATCAAGCTGATCAAGTACCATTGGTGTTTTATTTCAGCAATCAATAACCTGCTACTGATCCACATCTGCAGAACGAGCACACACACACACACACACACACGCACGCACGCACGCACACACACACGGCTGTTGATCTCACACTCTGAACACGGCGGGTCATCATGGATTCAGAATACCTCAATGATCATATCCTCAGTAATGTGAGTGATTTCACAGCGTTAGTGTTCTATATCATCATCATCATCATCTGCTGATCAGTCTGAAGAGTCCTTATGGCACTCACACCGCTGACCCTCAGATGCAGAATAAGCACTGATCTCAGGCCAGCATGTCTCTCTAGAGTCTGAGCATCAGCACTGCTCTGAGTCCACAGTAAAGCACCAGTGGAGGAAACCAACAGTGTCTCAGAGCTGTGTGTGAACGGCGGACGGGTTCTGAATGAGGAGAGAGTCTCTGTGTGTGTGTGTGTGTGTGTGTGTGTGTGACTCCAGATCAACAGGACTTCCTGAGACCACAGCTCCTGTCGGTGCAGATCATCTCCCACAGGCGGCTGGTCTTGGTGTGCTTTGCTTCCTTCATTCTGAATTATTTTAGTTTATTTTAAGGAAATCTCCACTTCTGAAGCACAAACATAACCCGAACTTGACTTAATCACCATCATTTACGGTTTGTTTACATCTATATTCTGATGGTTTGTTTATATGAGGAAGTGTTCTGAGTCAGGCGACTCATCGGTGAACTGAGGCTTATCGATTACTTCTTACATTTTCAGAATGTATGGCGATCCTCTCTGCAATGGACATTAGTGTAACAGCAGATGGCGCTCCAGGCTAGAGTTAAACAGCAGAAAATGCTCTAGGCTAGTTTAAGAGGGCGCTCTATGATAGTTTCCAAACAGTACATGGTGTTTGTAGGCTAGCGTTTACCAGTACACTGTGTTTTGGGCTAATTTTAAAACAGCAGACGGCGCTCTAGGCTAGCGTTAAACAGCAGATGGTGCTGTATGTTAGTTTTGAAACAGCAGACGGCGCTCTAGGCTGGTTTTAAAGAGCAGAAAATGCTCTAGGCTAGTTTAAGAGGGTGCTTTAGGATAGTTTCGAAACAGTAGATAGCGTTTGTAGGCTAGCGTTTACCAGCAGGCGGTTTTTCGGCTAGTTGTGAAACAGCAGATGGTGCTCTATGCTAGTGTTTAACAGCAGATATCCTATATGCTATTTGTAAAACAGTAGATGGTGCTCTATGCTAACATTTTACAGCAGAGAGTGCTCTAGGTAAGCGTTTAACAGCCAATTGTGCTCTAGGTTAGTTTCGAAACAGTAGATGGTGCTCTTGGCTAGTTTAAGAGGGCGCTCTATGATAGTTTCCAAACAGTAGACGGCGTTTGTAGGCTAGCGTTTACCAGTAAATGGTGTCTTGGGCTAATTTTGAAACAGCAAATGGCGCTCTAGACTAGTGTTTAACAGCAGATGGTGCTCTATGTTAGTTTCGAAGCAGTAGATGGTGCTCTTTGCTAGTTTTTAACAGCAGATGGCGCTCTAGGCTAGCTTTAAACACCATAAAATGCTCTAGGCTAGTGTTTAAGAGCAGATGCCGCTCTATGCTAGTGTCGAAACAGTAGATGCCGCTCTAGGCTAGTGTTGAAACAGCAGATGGCGCTCTAGGCTAGTTTTGAACAGCAGAAAATGCTCTAGGCTAGTTTAGGAGGGTGCGCTATGATAGTTTCCAAACCAGTAGAAGATGCTCTAAGCTAGTGTTTACCAGCAGACGGCAGTCCAGGAGAGCGTTAATTAACTTTAACGTTAATAATAGTAATGACTATTTTAGGTATGGTGACTTTATGAGAGGCGTGTGCGAGGAACTGAAGGCTGTTTGTAATGCATACAGCGCCATCTGCTGGTGAAAAGGAAAATCTGAATCATTAAAGGCAGAATAGCGGTGCATCAGTGAGGGCTGCAGGACATATTCCTCCAGCATCCACCATGTGCACATCTGCAGCATCACAGCGCAGGACGCTCAGTGTGGATGATCAATGATCTGCAGAGGTTACCCATCAGCTGTCCGGTGAGTGATGATCCGCATGTGTTTACGGCCTGCAGCTGTGTGAGCGTCTCAGGCCAGTGTAAAGCGTTCAGGCTAATACATTACAGCACGCAGTAGCCAACATGTGGAGAGGATCAAAACCAACAGCAGCATCTGTCCGGCCCTCTGTGTCGATCCCCTGAAACGCTGACCTCTGCAGACTGTGAAGACTTACTCTACATCTGACTGTACAGCTGCTGTGTCTGAACAGCACGGCTAATAGACTGCTCTGTGCTCTACTGTGCTGATCCGTGTGCTGTATGGGGTGCAGATGCGCTCAGTCTACATCTATCATCAATCACTCTAGCATGATGAGTTCCTGAGGCGTTCATGTCATCAGGAGAAAATATAGTCAATGCGTATCGCAGAAGAATCAAACATCGATCGTCAGTTTCCTCCAGTATTGCGCGGCCCTACATTCAGAACATCTCCTGATGGGTTGAGAATCGAGTCTCCTGGATTCAGCACCGCAGCTGGGCTGGCGTCAGGACACTCCAGCTTCAGTCTGAACCAGAGACCAGCAGAGTTCTGCTGACGATGCACAGGGCAACCTTTGAGCAATGCAGCCGGGTCACTCTGGGGAATGATCAGCCAGGTGAGACTAATCAGGAATAATAATGGAAAAGTCACCAAGCAGCACTGCTCCAACAGTGTCCGTGTGTGTGATCAGCATGAGAGAGTGTTCCTCAGGAGACCTCTATGATCTCCATGCTGCCGCTGAAGCTGGTCTGGCCGGCTGCGGTGTCGTCTCTGGATCGGCTGTCAGTCCCGCCGTCCCCGAACTCCATCTGGCAGCTGCGGCGCTTCAGCTGTTTCTCGAAGCTGGATTCCTCGTGCCAGCTGCGGCGAGAGTCTCCTGTGTCCCCGCTGCGCTGCCGCCCGCGCCGCCGCACCGCCTCCAGTCCCACGGCGCAGCCGTACGGGGACCCACCAGGGCCGGGGTAGAGGTCAGGGGGCAGGAGCCAGCCACCGCTCACCGGCCCAAGCAGCATGTCTGAGTGCCAGCCCTTCAGCGCGCCGACCGGACGCGGAGACTCATCCACACTGCCGCTGCGCTGGAGCGCTGGCGTACCCCAGGGTCTCGCAGAACTGTCCTCAGCCCGCTCCTGATCCGGACTCTGCTCTGAAACCTCCTGCACCGGGGAGAACTGGCAGCCAGGTTTGTCCGCACTGATGGGAAACGCCCGCACAGATGCCGCCGGCTCGCCATACGACTGAATATCAAGAGAGAATGAGCGCTTGGGCCGGGTGTTCTCCTTCAGGTCCTCTCCGAGCGTGAGTCCGCAGAGCGCGCGGGCCAGCAGACGCTCCTCAGAGACGCCGCTCAGCACACAGGGCAGCGTCAGCGGCTCCAGCAGATCCGACACGCCGGGCTTGGGTTCGGCCGCTCGCTGCGGGTCACAGACACTCTTCAGATTCTTCTCGAAGTCCAGCAGCTGCCCGAGGAAGTTGAAGTTGGGAGAGATGGTCGGCCGCTTCTCCTTCACGAACCTGAGGAGATCAGATCACACGTCAACACACAATCAAGACTGAGGAGTCCTGCACTATTGGCATGCTAACCAGAGCTGCGCTGTGGAGGAGCGGGAGCAATACTCCTGACACCAGTTCACACACTCCAACACAGAACAGAAAGATCATTGACTGCGCTAATGAAGGCGAGCGGGCTGTGGAATCAGCCGGTCCGCTGAGTATCGCCTCCTCAGTTATACGTCACGTTAGAATCCTAAAGTTCAATAGTTTTTAAGACTTCTTAAAGATCGTCTCAGGATATTTCAGGAGCTCATCATGTTCTAATCAGTATCAAACCTTTAACTTGATGAACAGCTGTAGTTAAATAAATGAATGCAGCAACAGAACCTAGACAAGCTCAGAAGAAGCT